AAAATCGAAATTCACGTAAGCCATGTTTTTTTAAAATCTAAAATTCTATTTAATTTTAATTTTTCTTGTGCGAACTGTACAAAAAGTTGATCAATGTGTGTGCAAACCTTATTTATTGAAAATATCTGTCCAGCACAAGGATTTTGTTAAGAAAAAACTGATGTTAATCAATCATAACTCACCAGGCTCAAGGTGGCTATATAAGTCGATTGACGAGAATAACTTTACTGCATTTCATTATGAGTTTGAATTTAGTCTCTTGAATATCCCGTAATTTCGAGCCAGTATAGTATTTTGCCTATTTATTAATAATCTATTTTACTGATGGTTAAAAAGTTCACTCCATGAATGCTATTCATTACAAACCTTGGAAAAAACATACAATCCTCTCTAATCACATCAGTATTTTCATATAAAATACAGTTGTATATCTCTTGAAAGTGACATTGTCTGAAAAATTTCCTACTCTAAATCATATTTCGTTCTTTAGCTGAGTTTATGAATTCGATTTATAATTGTATTTAGTGCCTAGTAGAGGTTTTAATCAGCTTTGCTCAGTAAAAATGATATTTATTTATCTATTTACCAGTTTTATTGATTTCGTGTCGGGATGATTCTAATGTTATATGTGTGGTAAATTCCAATCACTTTAGAATAACTGGTATAATTCTAAACTTAACGTTAGTTTAGCAGCTTTGAAGATATCTTAACTTAGACCCCAAATGTTTAATGGAGTAACTACCGTGAATTGACGAATAATCGAAAGCAAATAATTACTACATACGTTTTCACTCTGTTACAAGGTAAACACTAAATATTTTTAGCTCAGTCAGCAAGAACACCGAAAGCACTCACTCTTTAGTAGTTTTACGTCTTGTAAAAAGTAAGTTCAGTCTAGAGTTATTTTAGACAATATTTTACTCTTATGATTGTTCTCAAAAATTACAGTAATAAATGCATTTTATTCTGGGTTAAGTGTAAATTAAACTTTCCTTAAATCATGCTATCAATATCGATCATGCACCAGTTAGGCTACTCTAAATTTTAGCGGATGAAGCGCAAAAAGTAATTGTAATTCATAGCTGGAAATTTTCGTAATATGATTGCAAACAAGGATTCAACATACAATCAATTAGTGAATTGGATATTGGATGTTTAAAATGGGACGGGAAATTATTATAAGAGGGATAGGGCGCGAAATAAGTGATTAGAAGTATTTAAGATTGACGCATATATATGCTGTCATTGAAACAGAAGAACCAAGCAACTAAGGTAACAGTGTTTCAAGGGAATCACTAATTATCATTATAATTCTTCACTTATCTATGCTTACTATACTTAGTTAATAATAATTAAGTTTTATCTAATGAGTATTTCCCAATGCACCAGTTTGCTTGGAATTAAATTGCATTTTACTATTGGCTAACTTAATGAATGAATTTATAACCATACGTTTCCTTCAACCAATTTAGCCGGCTAGCAGTGCTCATTGTGATGGCCTCTACTTAGGCATCTATTACGCGTGGATGCTTTTAATTGGCAATGATTTTACGGAACTTTACACATAAAACCGCTCATTCCGTTATAAATTTCAAGCAATCTGATCACACACTTACTTGTATAAATATTTATATACGAAAAGTATCCTTATTTCGCTTAACTTCTAATTTATCTAGTGTGGCCTTCATCTTTCATAGATGTCATAGCAAGTAAGCGTGTGCTAAGATTATTGGAAATGCATTGTGTTAATATAGCACATAATTCTGATAAACTTTTTATTGTCTTTGCATGATCTAAATTTCTATCCTATGGACAAAGTATTTTGAAGTAACACGGACCTAAAATGCTTTATTGATTCACGTGATTATTATCTTGTATTGAATACTCAATCATTTGATACGATCTACATGAATTTTTCTTATTGTATGGTCACTCAGACTTTTCTGAATTCCCCGGCCGATGAATAACTAGTGAACAAGCATAACAATGAGGTAAAAACTTAATAACATTGTACTTAAAAATATACCAATTGCGTAAACAACTAGTACTTAAGGTACATAATAAGTCGATAAGCGAAGGGCCTTATGAATAAATAGGTGACACTTTAGTGTCTAAAGCAAAGGATGCCAGATTCACATTTCACTAAAAGTACTCATAGCCCATAGAATGCATGTGATAGGCTTTCATTGAACAGGTTTAACTAGAAAATCTTAACTACAGCCTATGCGAAAGTATGTTTATCCAAGATATGTCTAAAAAGAATTTTTTGGACGGAAATTTTATATCTTGAGTAATATATTACTCTAAGAACCAGAGTAGTGAACCTTAAAGACAAAAAACAGTGCTGAATAAAAAAGTCAAGTTTCCAGAAGGATTTCAAATGAACAGTTACGAACATCTGAATAGTGGCATGGTATGTTATAAATTATAATTTCTCAACAATGAATCGCAGGTAATGTGATTTTCTAGTCATGGTTTTGTTGACTTCAAATTTATTTGTTTATATGATTCATTTCCCAAGACCATTTCAATACAGTCTGCACAACAGTAAGCATTACTACGTCACTTGCATAATAAGAGGTATCGATCTATTCACGTACTTAGTGAGCGATCCGTTCTATCTTCATGACTGATGTTTGTTCGAAGACAGAAATATAAGACAGTTTGATTTTAGTTACATAAACCATATTAAAATTATCCTCTAAGTAATCATAACACATTTAACCCACTCACCAATGGTTATATTTAACTTGGTCCATAATAACAGTGGTCTATATTTTCACATAAAATTGATTGACCAAAAGTTGGACTACTTGTCCAAGTTGTAAGGAAACCAGATTTGCCGTAAATATAAGAAACAATAAAAGAAAACAGAAGCATATTTCATTAGTAGCATTTTTTTCTGTCTCCTATTTTTATTTATTTGATCAATACTGTCTACAAAGTGAAAATTAAGTAATTTTGTGTCAATGTAAATAGAAATTAATTTTAAGAAATTATAAGTTTTGTTAAAAACTATTTTATAGAGTTACTTAGCGTTACACTTTCCTATACGGAGTAGTAGATGTTATATTTCAGTGTGTAATACTTTAGAGTGTTACTATTCTGTTGTCAAATATTCATTCATTTGGTTAGTTGTAAGAGTTATCAGATAATCATGTCAAATCAATAAACTTTTTTACAGCAATCTGATAAAGCCTCATTTTAATGATCCTTACTTGTTATCAACAGGAACAGGTAACCAATCCAGAAAAGTAACCTGAATGAAAAATCGTTTGACATAAAATTTAAGGATAAAACTTTACGTTAGAAAGTGATGATTTAGTTGAAATTGAATGCTTTTCTTGAAATTATCCTAATGAATTAGAAAATATGTAAATAGGTATTGTTGTTTTTTGAGTGTAAATGTACAAGAATTCATGATTAATTAGAAAAACAAAGTATATATCAAATATTTTTATCAACATGGGAGTGGAAATTCATTTGGGTTGTTAAAGACACAAAGCAGTAACTATACACCCTTATTCTACATATGTTTTGTGAATAGAAAGAAGTGCGAATCTGTTTTGTCAATTACTCTCAAGGTTGACAAATGGACACAGTAACGTAAAGATTTCACGCAAGCATGTTTTAGATTTTCAACAGTGAAGCAAAATGTTTGGAACAAAATAAAGTAATATTTTATAATCAATAAGCTAAAGAGTATGAGCGACTCTAAAAGAAAGAGATCTTAAAGTTCACATAAAGCTGTATATCTCGAACAATAGTTTATTCTTTACCATTATTAGAACTTGTAACATAATACATTCTTTTATTAAATTCCAGTAAGGATAATCTTATATTTACTTGATTTATATTCAAAATCAATTATGGTCTTACATTCTGTCATGTTCATGACAACTTAACTTTTCTCTTTGCCCGATGCATAAAAATTCAGTTCATTCTAAAACTTTTACCCATTTACTGCAGTCGATACTAGGAAGTTTTATTGCAAACTTTAATAGATTTTTTTGTAAATACTAATATTAGCTGAATGACGTGTTGCGTAAATTCGAAGATTTTTCCTCTAAATTTAAAATAAACGATTATTTATCTGGATATTCTGTGTTCAAGGTGTATTGATACCTCTGACATTGATTAAATGACTTTTTCCAGAATGTTCATAGAAGTTTATTAAAAGTAAATTTGTAAATAGTGTTTATCAGGTTTGATAACGAGCTCATACTACATTTCTTGTCAGGTTCTACGTTGTCTATTATTAATTGACTAACCATATACCATAAACTTTTTTGGTATTTTTGCGTACCAACTATGAAATATCTACGTATCAGCTGATTCTTGTGCAGATTAAGATTTAAAAAAACATTATCAAACGGAGTAGGAAAAATGTGATATCTGATTGAGAACGGTAT